AACCCGTTGACGCTCGAGCTGCACCGTCCTGATGCTCAAGTGGTAGCTCGTCCGGTTCAAGCCCATTTTTGTGTTTTGAGTATTCATTTACATCTATAACTCTACTTTTGAGGTTTTGGATGTCCTCTATATGTATGTAGCTCTTCATTGTATATTAGATTAAGTCAGACAAATTTGTAAACACAAAATTTTTATGTTCTTTTTTCATATTTTAGTGAAATCTTCTTTACTCTGCAAATTATTTTGTTCTCGTTCTCTTGTGATTAATTACTTCATATTGTGCTTATAATCTCATATTTTTCTTCAACTAATTGGTATCATGATATCATCTTCGTTTTCAACAATCTGGTATCAAAGTCAAATGCTTGAAAATTCTTGGGAGAGCCAAGGTTTGATCAAGTCAAGAGCTCGGCTTGTTCTTTTGTGATGGCAACCATGAAGAATGATATTCCGTTTTTAGATAGCAGCACAAGACTTTCATTGTGGCAGGTATAGATGTTAGTAGTGCTCGCTCAGATGGATTTGGACTAGGTATTGTTGGGTTTTGACAGGATGCCACAACTTGGACAACAGGGAGATCGAAGTGCCATATCTCAGATTCATCTTCATCTTTCCAATAATATTCTTCAGAAAGCTTTGAAGGAGAAGTCAACTGCTGCATTATGGTTGAAATTTGAGCAATTATGCATGACGAAAAGTCTAACTAGTAAATTGCATTTGAAATAACGTCTATATTCTCATCGTATAAGAGAATGTACATCCCTTGAAGATCACCTAACTATATTTAAGGAAATTGTCGCTGATTTGAAAACCTTGGAGGTTAAATATGATAAAGAAGATTTGAGTTTGATTTTGCTGTGTTCGTTGTCCACTTCATATATGTCTCTTTTGAGACATGATCTTTGATAAGTGTATTTTATACACTTAAACGTACAATTAAACTAGAGTAAGTATTGTTATTTTAAATGATTTGTGGCTAAATTTCATATATATTTTGTTTGTTAGGTGCATCTCGATGAAAAACAATGAAATTGAAGAAATGGAGCAAAATATTTTTTTTTTGCTAAAGTGGACATAATCCAAAGTTTGGGGACTAAATTGTAAAATGCTAATAGATGATTCGGACCTAGTATCGATGATTGGAGGGATGTTGGAGCAAATTAGATGTAATTGGAAGATGGAGGATCAAGAAAATACGAAGAAAAAACCAAAATAACCAAGGAATGAGAATTTCGGGGACCAAAGTGCAACAAATGGAAAATTCTATAACGTTACGGGAAAATTCTCTCGTGCGTGCACGGGCATGAGGTTTATTTACTGAGCCTAGAATTCTATAATGTCGCGCGCGCAAGGGATTATACGGCGTGTGTAGGCTATTTCTGGGCCTGAACTGTCCAAATTCCTTTTTTACCCAAATTATTATAAAAACCAAATTTAACCTATTCTCTTTGGGGGAAGAACGGTGTGAACTACTGAAAACACATCAAAATCCTATTTTTCACCACAAGGAAGATGTTAGCACAAGATTCAAAGGCAAGTAACACAATAGATTGAAGATTCAAAGCCGGGTTGAAGATTTAAGAAGAAGAAATTGGTTTTTCACTTTCAATTCTTTATTTTCCATTCCGGATGATGTTTTTCTATATCGTTTTGTGTAATTTACATAACAATATGCTAGGCTAAGTATTTTCATGTATTGGATGAAGATGAAACCAGTTATTATTTATTTTTAATTCAAGACAAGTAGTTAGTTAATTTCTTGTATATTATTTATTTTCAATTCAAGACAAGTAGTTAATTAATTTCTTGTTTTTCTTGATTAATCTTTCATGCATAATTTTATTATTTGATTGTTTGATCACCAATTAAATATATAGTTGCTTGTTGTAGTGCTGGGAGGCTCACAATAGGTATATAACATTGCTTAATTAACATGCGTGGGATAGATATTAGGAATAATATTTATCACGTGTGCAATTTATGAGATAATCTAGACTCTAATGCATTCTAGTCATTCGAATTCGAACTAGGAATAGATTTGAGTCGTGATTAGAATAGATTTTATTTATCTTGAAAAAGAGAATTAATTACTATAGATTTATCAATTGTCAAGAATGCATGAATGATACTAGCTGCATAGTTGAGAATTGAAATAGGTAATAATAGGTGGGTTTGTAATCAAATACATTCATTCTATATAAATACAAAACTCGAATTCTACAAGCTTTCGTAGAATAATTATCAACCACAATTCAATTTTGTTTGCTCACTTTGAATCTGAATAAAGACTAATACACTTGATTGAAATTTATTCCCTGTGGAAAGACAACTTTTAACTCATCACATATTACTTGTCAACGATTCCGTACACTTATGAGTTTTGTACAAACAATCTTAAATAGTCATGATATTCTCACCATTGAAAAAATATATGATGCTCTCTATTCAAATGAGAAGATGAAGTGTATTGTTATATCTGAAATTCATGGAGCTGATCACATTGTTGATGGTGGTTGTGCAAGAAGAAGGGACACTCGATAAATGATTGTTAAAAGTTGTAGAACAAGGAAAAATTGGCTACAAATTAGCAATTAGAAACTTCATGAGAAGCCAGAATTGCATAAAATTGTCATAGTGATGGAGAACTTTTACTTATTTCTAACTACGACTCCAAACCTGACGCGGATTGAATTCTTGATATAGCTTACACTTTACATATGTGTCTCAATCAGGATTATTTTCAATATATGAAATAGTTTCAACAGGTATTGTGGTCATGAAAAATAATACACCTTTAGGATAGCTGACATTGGCCTGGTTAAAATAAAGACGTTTGATTTGACGGTTAAACACTTGATGACGTGAGACATGTTCCAGACTCGAAGAGAAAGCTTATCTTCTTGAATACTCTTGATTCAAAAGAGTACAAATGCACTAGTGAATGTGAAATCTTGAAGGTTAGTAAAGGAGTCCATGTTTTGTTAAATGGACATAGAAAGAAAATTCCAATTACATGTCTTGTAGTGTTATATAGAATTTTTGACCAATCAGAATATTTTAAGAACTTGAGTGGATTTGGAGTTAGATTCTATACTTTTAGAGTCTAATATAGGATCTTCTTTGAAGAATACATCTCAGTTGAATTTAGAAATTATGGGTAATGCCCCCTTTGTTATCATTATTTACGATGTCATTGTATTTAGTTGCTAGTAACATACCCATTTTTTTTTTATCATAAGCCTCCACATAGGTATAATACTGTTGATTTAGTTGATAGTTTGAATGTGGTTAAGGGTGTTGATTCTAGCCAAGATCCTTCTTTTCATGCATTCAGTTGTGGTGATTATGTTTCAGAGCTTGTTTCTGCCATATTTGGTGATGTCCAAGCCCAATGCTTGGAATTTTATTAATATTTATTAAATTTTGCCCTAATTGCGTGCATAGTTTCGGAGAATATTTTCAGTTGGAAATTTTGATGAAGAATTTCGTTTGTGTTTT